GGAAAAAAGAGCCTGGGCATCCACGCGTGTCCCTGCACGCACACGTATGCACACACATGTGTGTGCGTGTGTCCTCTCCGTGCCGCTTCTCAGTCATGAGTCGAAGTCGTTCGGTGCTAGCTTAAGACATCACCCGAGCCTCATGGGGAGACCGTGTATGAAGCGGGGAGACCCGCCTCTGGGATTAGCTCCTCGGAGCCTGTGCCCTAGGAGAGACTGAGCATAAAATACAGGTTTATCCTGAAAACATCCATCTAAGCGTGCTGGTAAGGGCTGTTCAGGAAGCTCTTTTGTGCCAAGAGATAGTGGGGGGGTGGGGGGTGGTAACGCTCATACTCTGTGGTTTTTGATTTTCTTTATTTTATCTTTTTATAAGAAACGACTTTCACTTGCAGCGGTTTTAATCCAAATGTTGCAGCAGGGAGCGTCTCTAGGACAGACGCAAGGTGAAAGCAGCCAGCTGCCCAGATGAAATGAATGACTGTGTCTGCATTGCCTGTGCCAAGCAAACATACAATAGGGAGACTGCCCATTTTTGGCATAAGAAAGGTCTGAATAACAAGTCAGCACCAGGAAGATACATAGAGCTGTTGGAGCTTTAGAGTTTTTATTTTTGTCCCTCCTGGCAGCTACCCTTTGCCCAAGGGGAGGCAGGGGTTTGTTTTCTGTTATTCCTGCTCTCACCTTCTCATCCTTACCCCTTCCGCCTACCCTGAGGAGCGGAGGTAAATCACAGCCCTGCTTTCCTGCGTGTCGCCAGCACGCAGGATCTCTCCCAGTCCTTTTGTGCAGGTGCCATGACCTTCCAGGGATGCTGTGATGTGAATAATTTTACTCCTGTCCCCACCTAAAATGGATGCCAAGGGCAGTGTGCTCAGCCCATGTTTCATAGTCTTGGCATGCATTTTGGGGCATATCCTGAAGGCTGGAAGGAATCCTGTCCCTGGGTCACGTTGGGCATATTCAAATATACTGGACCAGAGATTCAGTGCCCCGGGGCCCCTGGGCTGAGCCCAGCGCCAGAGCCTTTGAGCTGCAGCTGGTTGTATAAGCTGGCTGGGTGCCAGGATCACCTATGGTGTGTTCACTGCTGGGGAGGGGTGGTGGAGGTGGGGAACACATCTGCTTTGCAGATGAGAGCTGCGAAGTCACTCAGAAATGAGGGAGAGCTCATGAGAACGATTTAGCTGGCTTCCCCCCCCCCCAGCTTTAGACCCCAGATCAATCCCTGTTCTGTTTTCCTTGGTAGGAGATGCAGAAGCCACTGTGGCCATAAGAGGGTCAAAATCCTCTTTCGTTCCCCCTCACTTCATTGTCTCCAGCTAAGTAGCTGCCCACTCTCCCTCTTCCCCCCACCACTCTTCCCCAGCAAGTCTGGAACAGTGGAGCTGTGTTTATAGCCCTTTTGATGTAAGGTTAGTGCACATGTGAGAAATGACGAATTCACCAGTTTACACCAGTTCAGTGTAATAATTCCAGCAGCATTGGTATGCTGGTAAAATTCCTCATGTGGCTACTACAACTCTGGAAGAAGCCTTTTTTTTCCTCTCAGCTGTTTTCTTTGCGCTCTCCCTCCTCCTCCTCCTGCCCCTGTGTAACTTCGACAGTGACATAAGCTATCGCAGAGAAAAATGCAACTCCAACCCCACATTCTTACTCTGGGAGCAGCATGTCCATATGGGGAGCGTTACCCGTCTAATTATACCACCAGATCTCTGTTGGGAATTTTTCCTGCATGGACAAGTCTTAGGTCTTTTTGGTAGATTGTCTTCCAGCCAAGGAAGAAAATAGTGCCCTCCTGCCAAAATGCCAGATGAGAATGTCTGACACTTTGGAATGGGCAGGATTTTTCCTTGCCTAATCTCTGGATTAGAAGCAATTTCTCATGGCTCTTTTGGGGTGGGGGTGGTTTCCTCTAAATTCTCAAGCAGCTCAGAGTATTATACCCTCAAAACATTAAGTAGGAAAGCAGGCAGAGACAGCCTATGGCCAGGATGCACAGGAGCTGGTCCCAAGCTCAACAGCTGCCTGGGTTCAGTGAAAGCAGCAGGATACTTAGTGTCCAGGTTTTTTCCTTTCTAACCTTTGATTCCAGAAGGAAAAACTTAGAGAGCTCCCTCTGTCGAGATCATTTTACTTCCCAAGCCTGGAGAATCTGTCAGCTTTGCCAGCTCCTCCCTGTAGGAAGGTATGTCTGTACCCTTGGGAAAGGGAGGAGTTGGGGTGGCCACGTAAGCTGCCTGGCCTGATTTTAATGCCTCCCTCAAGAAACTAGGCCATGGCAGGTCGGTGGTCTCTTATGACTCCTGGATGCCTGTATGGCAATCTACGGTTAGTTCAGGAGATGTTTCTACTGGGAAAGGAGCTTTCCCGCTTGGCCATGCTCCCTCCC